AGCTGCTGCTGCTGCTGCTGCTGCTGCTGCTGCTGCTGCTGCTGCAGGTGTTGGGTTTAGTGGGTACGAATGGTACGGGTAAATCAACAGCATTAAAGATCTTAGGCGCTAAATTAAAACCTAATCTTGGTAAGACATCCTCCTCTTTTTTTTTTTATTCTTTTTTTCTTTTTTTCTTCTTTTTTTTTCTTCTTTTTTATTCTCTCTAATTCTCTTGTTGTTGTTTATTATTGTTTATTATATTTTATAGTGTATTAGGCTTTATTATTATTTTTTTGGAGTGTATTAGTATTTAATAGAATTTTCTAGGGTTTAGGGTTTAGGGTTTAGGGTTTAGGGTTTAGGGTTTAGGGTTTTTTTTTTCAGGTCGATATTCAAACCCTCCTGAATGGCGAGAAATAGTTTCGCACTTTAGAGGATCTGAATTACAGAATTATTTTACAAAAATTATTGAAGAAAGTCTTAAAGTTGTTATTAAACCACAATATGTTGATTTAATACCTAAACAGGTTAATATATTTTTTTGAGGGTTTAGGGTTTAGGGTTTACGAGGGTTTAGGGTTTACGAGGGTTTACAGGGGGTATAGGGTTTAGAGCGTAGTGTTTATCATTCTTTTGTATTGTATATTCGTGTTTCTATGATAATATTACGATTTATAATTTCGTTTTTTTTTTCTAGGGTTTAGGGTTTAGGGTTTAGGGTTTAGGGTTTAGGGTTTAGAAATTTTTTTTTTTTTTTTCAGGTGAAAGGTGAAGTAGGTGAAGTATTACGCTCTCGTGATACTCGTGGTGTATGCGAGGGTTTAATAGATTGTTTAGATTTACGTCATTTATTAAAAAGACAAATAAATGAATTATCTGGTGGTGAATTACAAAGGTTTTGTATTGGGGCTGCATGCACTGTAGATGCACAAGTACTTATGTTTGATGAACCTTCTTCTTATTTAGATGTTAAACAAAGAATACAAGCAGCAAATACTATAAGAGGAGCTCTATCTACAGATAATTATATTATTGTTGTACGTAAACCCTAATTTACATTATTTATAAACCCTAATCATATATATTATACCCTATTGCACGGGGGTTTCTTTGCACAAGAGGGTTTATAGCAGCCAGGGTTTAGGGTGTAATGTTTCTTCCTAGGGTTTAGGGTTTATGAAACTATATTAAGGGCAATTATAAGCACATATAGGGGTTTCCAATGGTTTCCAAGAAATTCCTAGGGTTTAGGGTTTAGGGTTTAGGGTTTATGGTGTTTCTGTGTATAGGTTGAGCACGATTTATCCGTTGTAGATTATTTATCAGACTTTGTTTGTTGTTTATGGGGTGTACCTGGTGCTTATGGTGTAGTAACAACACCATTTAGTGTAAGAGAAGGTATAAATCATTTCTTGGATGGATTTATACCTACAGAGAATCTACGTATTCGTGATGAATCTCTTAACTTTAAGCTTGCTGTTGATCAAGATTTACTCGAAGATATACAGGTACAATATAATTTAGGGTTTATTAGGGTTTACTAGGGTTATCTAGGGTTTATTAGGGTTTACTAGGGTTTACTAGGGTTTAGGGTTTAGGGTTTTGGACGATCGGGGAGTGGTTTGTGGGTGTTAGGGTTTTGTTTGTTTGTTTTGATGGTATTGATGTTGTTGTATTATTTATCGATAAAAATAGTGAATAATTAGGGTTTAGGGTTTACTATTGTTAATTAGGGTTTATTAGGGTTTATTAGGGTTTATGCTCAGCGTCTACATTTTTATGAATATCCTGAGATGACGAAAACCCTCGGCACTTTTGAATTAAAAGTTGAAAAAGGAAATTTTTCTGATTCAGAGATTATTGTTATGTTGGGACAAAATGGTACAGGAAAATCTACTTTTATCAGGTACTTTTCGAGGGTTTAGGGTTTAGGGTTTAGGGTTTAGGGTTTGGGTGGAGGAGGTGGATACAACAAGGTTTCGGTGGCTATGTTGGACAAACCAAAAGGGTTTTGCAAGAGGGTTAATACCACAGGGTTTCTTGTTCAGGTTTTAGGGTTTAGGGTTTAGGGTTTAGATTCTAGGGTTTAGGGTTTGTGGTTTGTTTGGTGCAGAATGCTTGCTGGGCTCCTTACGCCCGATAATACGCAAGCCCTTTCTTCTTTTGCAGTTTCTTACAAACCCCAAACCATCTCCGCCAAATTCCAAGGCACTGTCAAGTACGTACGAGGGTTTAGGGTTTAGGGTTTACAAGTTTAAGGGTCGAGCGAGGGTTTACAGGGTTTGGGGTTGAATGCGACAGGAGGAATGCTTTCCAGTTTTCGGTCCTGCATAGGTGCAAACGAGGGTTTAGGGTTTAAATTTTAGGGTTTAGGGTTTAGGGTTTAGGGTTTCTTATTCAGGGAGTTATTTTATGCAAAGATTCGTGACGCATTTAATCATCCGCAATTCCAGACGGACGTCGTGCGCCCTCTAGACCTGGATAAGGTACCTCTAAACCCTAAACCCTAAACCCTAGACCCTCGTAGTAGGTTCCTGTGGACCTGGTATATAGTAGAGGGTTTGTATTTCTTATCTTTTTTTTTCTGTGCACCTTAAAGTATTCAGAAAACAGCTTAAATCCCGGTTTTTTAGGGTTTAGGGTTTAGGGTTTAGGGTTTAGGGTTTATTTTTGTATAGGTAATGGATCAACAAGTACAACTTTTATCAGGAGGAGAGTTACAACGTGTAGCATTAATTGTTGCATTAGGTAAACCCGCGGATATTTATTTAATTGATGAACCTTCTGCTTATTTAGATTCAGAACAAAGAATTGCAGCAAGTAAAGTTATTAAAAGGTACGTAATAAGAGGGTTTAGGGTTTAGGGTTTAGGGTTTATGGGGGAGAGAAGATTTTTGGAAGAGGGATGGATGTTTTGATTGTGCCCAGAAATGTGTAACATTTTAGGATTTCTAGGGTTTTTAGGGTTTTTAGGGTTTAGGGTTTAGGGTTTAGGGTTTAGGGTTTAGGGTTTATGATTCAGGTATATATTGCATGCAAAGAAGACGGCATTTTTAGTTGAGCATGACTTTATTATGGCGACATATTTAGCCGACAGAGTGATTGTTTTTGGTGGAGAACCAGGGTAAACCCTAAACCCTAATTAAACCCTAATTAAACCCTAATTAAACCCTAGATAAGTAGTGTATAAATTTACTATATGAATATTATATCTAGAAGGGTTTAGTGTATCCAATTATAGATGTCAATTTCTTTCTCTTTTTCTTTTTCTTTTTCTTCTTTTTCTTCTTCTCCTTCTTCTCTTTCTTTCTCCTCTTTCTCCAAACTAGCATATATTAGGGTTTAGGGTTTAGGGTTTCCATACATACATATATATACATATTTTTTTTTTTTTTTTTTTTTTTTTTTTTTTTTTTGG